GAGAGAGAGAGAGAGAGAGAGAGAGAGAGAGAGAGAGAGAGAGAGAGGGAGGTTGGGTGCAGGGTCTGGGTGTAAACCTCAAAATCAAAGTAGGAGAGAGAAAAGATCACAGGGAGGGACATGGGCAGATTCCAGGGACAGCATCATTCCAGGTTGACAACTCAGCAGGAAGGTGGACCTCTGTCCTCTGTGAGTTCTCCAGAGGATCTCGAGCTCCAGATAGCACAACTCCTGTCTGGCTAGAATTTAGCCTTGGAGGTGAGGATTGAGCCCCTGGCATCCCGATGCTTAGCTCCAGAACAGTCAGCTCACATTGATGTAGGTGCCATGCTTGTGGTATCTTGTTAACTGTAGAAAAACAAATGCATCCTCTCTCTGCAGACAAACTCCCACGGTGTCACTTTCAAATCCATCCGTCTTCCTCGTCCTGCTCTTTGTGTGTTCACACGTGTATTCACGTGTGAGGCTAGGGGTTGAGGCTGGATGTCTTCCTCACCTGCTGTCTACTTCATTCTTTTGCGATGGGGCCTTTCACTGCACCTGGAGCTTGCTGGTTTGACGGGGCTGGCATGGCTGGTGAGCCCCAGGGAATCTTCTGCCTCCGCCTTTCTAGTGCTGGGTCACAAATGCACACAGCTGCACCTTGCTTTTGCTTTATTTCTTCGGTTTGTTTTTAGAGACAGGGTCTCTCTTACAGAGCTGTGCTGGGACTCACAGAGGTCCGCCTGCCTGTGTCTCCCAGGGACCGAGATTAAAGGCGTACGCCTCCATGCCCGGCCTGTGACTTTTTTCTTTTATGTGGTTGCCGAGGATTTGAACTCGGGTTCTCAGGCTCATGCGGTGTCTTAGTTATTTTTCCTGATGCTCTGATAAAATGTCCTGACAAAAGCAGCTTAAGGAAGAAAGGGTTGATTTTGTTGAAGCTGAAGGGCGGGGAGTCTTGGCAGCAGGAGCTTGAAGCAGCGGTCACATCACCCCACACCAGGAAGCAGACAGGTGAACGCGTGCTGCTGCTCAGCCTTTTCTCCCCTTACATGGTCCAGGACCCCAGGGAATGGTGCCACCCACAGTGGGCAGGTCTTCCAACTTCAGCTCTCGAAACCCCTCTGCAGACATGCCCAGAGGCCCACCTTCCAGGTTGCAATAGATTCTTTCAGGTTGACAGTTGGCTCATAACAAGAGCTGTTGAACTGACCCAAGGCCCTTTCCTTTTTAATCTTTCTTTCTGCCTCCCACTCATTTCCAAATATAAACTCAGACTTAGGACAGTGCTTTGCTGGGGCAGTATGCAGAGTTCAACCCTGCCCTGCCCTGCCCTCCCTTCCCCCTTCCCTTCCCACCTCTTCCTCTCCCCCCTCCTTCTTTCTTCCCTCCTTCCTTTGTTATTTTTTGATGCAGGATCTTGCTATGTAGCAGTACTCTTGCCTGAGTCTGCTTGTCCTCAGTGCTGGCTTTGCAGGCTGCCATCTACCTTGTTTGATGTGACTACTGAGCCTTCTTTTTTCTCTTTGGTATCAACTGCTCAGCTGGAGGAAAGAGCACAGCAGATCCGCTCGAAGTCCTACCTCATCCAAGTGGAGCGGGAGAAGATGCAGATGGAGCTCAGCCACAAGAGGGCTCGAGTGGAGCTGGAGCGAGCTGCCAACACCAGCGCCAGGAACTACGAGGTGGGTCCAGCCAGTCCCAGGGGCAGAGGGCTACATGCACTTGTCAGGCTGTGCCAAACTGGGACCCAGCTGGCAGGGCCACCTGATGCTAGCAGGTTGGAGAAGGGTGATCTGATGTGGGGGTGACCACAGAGGGGGCTGTTGGCTGTGGCTGTTGCTCAGTGACCCTGTGTTGTGGGCAGACCTGTCCCTGACTTGCCTCTGTTTCCTCTTTTCTCCAGAAGAATTGCAGTGCAGATCTGGAAGAAATAGTGGGTGCTGGGGTACGGGTAGGATAGGGTGATAGGCTCAAGAGGTTGCAGGCTTTCAAAGAGTTTTGGGGTCTATGTAGTGTCTTACCACTTCATGAAAGTGCCCTGGCATGGGGGTGGGCATGTGGGGAAGTGCAGCCCCGTGACTTGGGGGCATGAACAGTGCAGGAAACTGTAATTGACTATTTGTGTATGTGTGGGTGTGGGTGCACATGAGTGCAAAGGCAATAAGGCGACCTTAGTGTCATCCTTAGGAATGCCACCCACCTCCTTTGAGATAGATTTTCTCATAGGCCAGTGGGCCTCGGGGATCCTCCTTTTTCTGCCTCTCTACAGCTAAGACTCAAAGTGTGTCTCCTATACTCTTGACTTTTTATGTGGGTTCTGGGGATGGAACTGGGGTCCTCAGGCTTGCAAAGCAAGCACTCCTGTCCGGACCATACTCCCCTGCTTCAGTTTTATCACCAGCTTTGCTGGGATGTTCTAGGGCTCTGATCAGAATGGAAGTGCCACCGTGACTCAGGTCATGCATCAGAACTCAGAGTCCATGTGGTCCTCCCATCCCTGTGATGACTGTCTGCCCTGTCCTTGTCTGATGTGCCCATCACAGGTTTTTTTCCCCCTTGTGAGAATGGCTGGCATTTTCCCTGGGGTGGTGCTAGTTGGGTGGGGTTAAGTCTGGCATATAGAGTGCTGGCTGTGGTGTGCTATCCTGGCTTGGCGAGTTAAGACTGAAGTCCCCTTGTTAGGGTCCTGTGTTGGTTACTTTCCTTGCTGCTGTGACAGAATACCAGACAACAGCTTAAGGGAGGGAGGGTTTATTTTGCTTCACAGTTCAAGGGTGCACAGTCCACCATGGCGGGAAGGCGTGGGCAGCAGGGGCAGGAGGCTGCTGGTCACATCACACCCAGTCAGGAAGCAGAGAGAGGGATGGTGCTGCTCCGTGTTCTTCTTTTTATTCAGTCTGAGACCCCAGACTTGGATCAGACTGCCCGTTTCAGTGTGGGTTCTCCTTCCTTAGGTCAGCCTCTGAGGGAGCATCTTCATAGATCCCTGAAGGTGTGTCTTCTAGGCCGTTCTAAGTCTTGCAAAGTTGACAACCAAGATTAACTGTAACAGGAAGATCTGTCCTACCCGGACCATGTCCTGTGCTGGTGGCCTGGTCCTGCCTCTTGGGCATATTTCTCAAGGGCAGAGCCTGTCTGCCGCCATAGGTCTCTGGTGTGCAGAGTTCATGCGGTCTCATGGGCATGGGGACATTAGTGAGGGCTGGTGACTGGGTCTGGAAGGCCCCTCTTGGGGAGACAGAGGGCAGCAGTGGTGGCAAAGCGAGGTCCTGACCCTTCTGACTCCAGCTGCCTGCTCAGAGGCCTGTTCTTCTGTCCTGCTCAGAAACACTCTAGGGGTGAGGTCTTGGAGTTGCCAGACTGTCCTTTGGAGTCTTGACATCTACAGTGGCTTTTCTGGGACTGTTCATTTGATGGTGGGCAGATAAGACAGGTCAGGCGCCCCTCCCAAAATAGCTACCAGGGAGTGAGGCTGAAGGTCCGAGGACCTGTCTGTATTGGGCCGACAGTGCCAGTGGAGTGCTCCTGGCTCTGGCAGTGCTATGATCCATCTCTCCCTCCTCTGCCTCCTTCCCTCCCCTCCCTCAGTCACAGAGCCTCACAGAGTAGGTCTCCGGGACTTACAGAAGGGTCTTCCTCCTGTTTTGAGGCTGTAATATTAGTTACTGTTCCCTTGGATCCCTTCAAGGTGTAGTTCAGCCTTCCTTCTCCCTAGGGGCCGCAGCACTCTGTGTGTGTGTGTGTGTGTGTGTGTGTGTGTGTGTGTGTGTGTGTGTGTTGGTTAGGGGCTGGAGCTCTGTTTTTGACACAAGCGACATCTGCCTTCATTGAGTAGGACTGCCTACTGACGTTCTTGGTGGCTCTGAGTAGGAGCTTGGGTGGATGGCTTCTGCTGAGGACAGAGTGACCATTCTCAGCATCCTTCCCTAGGCTCAGCTGGAGAGGCCCAAGGCTGACATAAGCCTCATGTCCCTGTGATGGTAGTCACAGTGTGTGTGACTGAACCTCAGTACTGTCCCCACCTCTCTGGGCCACAGAGCTCCCCTGGAGATTAGTGTGGTGGCCCCGAAGGTGTGTGTGATGGACACTTGGGGCAGTAGTGGTCTTGCCTGCAGGCCGCCATCCGTGTCCCTTCTTTGCTGTAGTCATCTTCTCCGTGGGGAGTCTCAACGCATTTTAATGACAGCCTGAGCATGGCCAGACAAGATCTGCTGGCGCTGCAGAAGCTCCGCTTCATTCCAAGGTCAAGTCTGAATTGTAGATTTTCTATGCTTTATCTCCTCTTGCAAGGAGGGTGGCGGTGAGCAGATGGTGTGACGAGTGTGGAGTGCGGTCCATGCCAATTGCCTCTCAGAGTGGGAGGCACCATGCTGCCGCACCGGGAGCCCTGGCATCCAGGTCTCTCGTCTGTCCTGTTTCTGTCCTTTTGTGGCTGATAGGCCTGCCTAGCTCCTCTGTGTATCACACTCCCTGACCAAGCTCTTCCTCCTCCACAGCGTGAGGTAGATCGTAACCAGGAGCTCCTGGCACGCATTCGACAACTCCAGGAGCGTGAGGCTGCGGCGGAAGAGAAGATGCGGGAGCAGCTGGAGTGCCACAGGCTGTGCAAGCAGAACCTGGATGCTACTAGCCAGCAGCTTCGGGAACTGGAGGATGACCTAGCTGCAGCCAGGGAGGTGAGCGTAGGCCGTGCCTGAGACCTAGACTCACCCTGGTACAGGTGGTTGTTTTCTAAGACAAAAGAATGAATACCGTGGTGACAGCAAGACATCTTCTTTTTTTTTTTTAATCTGTTTTTGTGTGAACAGGTACACATGTGGGTGGGCACATATGTGTGTGTGTGTGTATGTCTGTGGAGGCCAGAGACCAGCCTTGGCTGCTTTTCCTCAGGTGCTGTTCACCTTGTTTTTATTTCAAAGGTTTCTTTTTAATTATCCATAAGCATATAGATGTGTGCACATTAGTGCAGGTGCCCATGAAGACCAGAAGAGGGCATCAGATCCTCTGGAACCAGAGTGAAAATGCAGTTGTGAGCTGCCTGATGTGCTGGGAACTTAACTTTTATCCTCTCTATGGCAGCCCAGGCACTGAGCTGAGCCATCTCCCCAGCATCCCTCTCACCCGACACTGTATTTTGGGACAGGATTTCTCTCTGCCCTGACACTCACCAATTAGGCTAGACTGGCAGGCCAGTGAACTATAGGAACTAGGCACTTGTCTCTGTCTCCCCGGTACTGGGATTCCGAGCACCACCACCCTCGTGCTGGGGATGGAGCTCAGGCCCTTGTGCTTACAGGATAAACGCGTCACTGCCTGAGCTGTCTCTCCACACGCACCTTTGTTTTAAATACACATATCATGAGTGACTGCATTTGGGGGGTTATAATCACAGTATAAACACCAACTTTTCCATTCTACAGGGCCAGTGAGAATGTTTAATATAGATCTTTTTTTCTGTTTGGGGCAAGGCCTCACTTTGTAACCCAGGCTGACTTCGAACTTGAGACAATCCTCCTGCCCCAATCTCTGTAATCCTGGGATGAGCTGCCTTACGCTTCTGAATTTGCTCTTTTTAATGTGAATGCAAGAGTTGGCCAGTCCACTGTTTGTGTGTTCTCCTATCTGTGCAGTACATGCTTCCTGTGTGAACCCATTGACTTCCCAAACATTGCTTTGTTTGGGCAAACTACCCTCTGCGGAACGCTCCGGCTGCTGCCGCCACTTGCTGGGCTGTGTTAACAGCAACTGTGAAGTATTGGTGTTGCTATCATCTTGTCTGTCATGGATAGAGAATGTTCTGGAAGTTCTGTTTCCTTTTCCCCAGACGTTGTAAGTAGGTGCCTGTGAATTTGCATGTCTTTGATTAGAGACGAGTTCTGTTAGCATCAGAGATTGCCTTTGAACCAGGGTGCAGGTGCGGCGCAGTCCAGTGAAGCCACTGCTGGTCTGTTTTGAAGGTTGCCTGAGTGTGGGTATGGAAGGAGTTGCCCGCCCACCCCAGGCCTCCTGTCCCTGTGTTCAAGATGACAGGTGCCAGAAGGGAACAGCTGAGAGCTCCAGGGGCTAGCCGCCTGGCGTCATTGGTATTCTGTGCCCGCACCTTCTCCACTTGATAGATCCTCGGAGTGGGCTGCGGGTTATTTTTGCCTCTGCAGCGCCAGGGAGCATGTTAAGGTTGTTGGCGCATCTGTCTTCCGAAGCAAGTCTTGGCAGGAGAGGAGCCGTGATCTGTTTCCAGACGAGTGGGCTCTTGTTTCACAGAGACCTGGCCCAGGTCCTTGGCCCCTCAGTGGTAGAGGAGGCCCTTACACACCTCAGTGAAGAGGAGAAGAGGGTCAGTGGTCCCTCCTCCGGGAAGCCTTTCCAGGCCCACAGCCCAGAGTAACAAGCCCTCCACTGCAGTGTTCAGTCACAGGCCCTGATTTATCACCTCCCCACCCTCGCCCTGCTGTTCTGCCATTCATCTGTTCACTTGCTGATGTGTCCCCTCCCCCGTGGTATTTGTCCTTCATCAGGGCAGGCTGTCCCTGTTTTAGCACTCAATACCTTGTGCACGTTACTGAGTCAGAGAGACATCGAAAAGGTGGCACTCACTGTGAGACGATGTTGTATGTAGGTACACATACCTTGTGCACATGTGAAGGCCATGAGGTTGCTATTGAGGTTCTTTGTCGGTCACTATCGACCTTATTTTGTGACACGGGGTCTCTTAGTAGACCCGGAACTGTCTTCTGGCCTGATTGGTTGGCCAGCAAATTCCAGGGGTCTGCCTGCCTCCTTAGCACTGGAACTGCAGGTATGTGGTGCCACACCTAGTGTCCTAGGTTTTTGTCACTGTGACAACACACCATGACCAAAAACAGCTTAGGGAGGCAAGAGCGCTTTTTAGCCTGCAGTCAGTTCCTCATGCAGAGAAGGCAGGGCAAGAACTCAAGACAGGAACTGGAGGCTGGATCTGAAGCAGAGGCCATGGAGGAACTCTGCCTACTGGCTTGCTCCTCATGGCTTACTTAGTCTGCCTTACAGCATCCAGGACCACCCTCGTGGGGTGGCACCACCCCAAGTGAGCTGGGCCGTCCCACATCAATCACCAATCAGTAAGAAGCTCCCTAGGCTGCTGGCCAGTCAGTGTGGCAGAAGTGTTTTCTGAGTTGATGCTCCCTCCTCTGGAATGACTGTTCCTTTTGTCAAGCTGACATAAAACTCACAAGCACACCGAACACTACACAAGTGCTGGGGATCCGAACTCAGCCTCGTGTGTGCAGCAAGCCCCCTCCTAACGGAATCATCTCCCTAGTTTCCTTATAAAAAAGATTTTATTTTATGTGTATGAGTGTTTTGCTTCTTGTATCTGAGCACACTGTATGCAGAGGCCAGAAGAGGCCATCAGGTGCCCTGGAATTATAGACAGTTGCAGACCACTGTGGGTGCTGGGAAATGAACCCAGGTCTTCTGGAAAAGTGGGCAGTGCATTTAACCCATGAGTCAAATCTCCAGCCCCCTGAAGTTTGGGTCTCACCGTGTAGCCCAGCCTGTCCGCAGACTTACTGTCTAACTCAGCCTCAAACTTGGCTTGCCTCCAGCCTCAGGCTCTCAAGTGCTAGGATTAAAGATGTGGGCACTGTTGTCTGGTTTGGACATGTTCTATTTTGTTTTAATTTTTTGAACTTTCCTCTTTTTTTTTTTTTGTTTTTTTGAGACAGGGTCTCTCTGTACCTTTTAGAGACTGTCCTGGAATTTGCTCTGTAGATCAGGCTGCAGGCTGGCCTCAAACTCACAAAGATCCGCCTGCCTCTGCCCCCGAGTGCTGTGATTAAAGGCGTGCGCCACCACTGCCTGGGTGAACTTTATTCTTACTAGTGTGACGTGTGTATGGGTGCATCTCTGGAGTTCTCTCTTTTCTTATGAGAGTCCTTTCTGAGTGGCAAGCTTTCCCTGCTGAGCTGCCACATCAGCCCTGGTTTGGGGTGGTTTCTTTTTTCCCTTTCTCTTTTTTAGACAAGGATTTATGTATTTCCGGCTGGACTCACACTAGCTATGCAGCCAAAGATAATGGAGTTACTCTTGGGGAACCAATGAATTTATGCTTCCATAGCGCTTGGGTGACAGGATACTGTAAAGTCTGCACCCAGTATGGACGACGACTTCCCCCCAGCTGTGTAGATGGAGCCTTCTTCCTGTAATCCTTCCCAGCTTCTGTAGTCTGCCCCTCCCCAAGACTCCCAGCCACATGCAAATTCGTACAGAAATGAGTGGGTGAGAAGAGTGGCTGCGGTGGCTGGATACTTCAGATGGCTCCAGTGACCTCCACATCCCTTCTGTGACACACTGTCTACAATCAGCAAGCCCTGTGTGATGATCTTTTGTAAGCAGGAGCAACTGAAGTCAAGAAGACAGCAGCTGTTGCCTGGGGAGAATAGCATCATGTAGCAACGATCTTGACTTCTGATCCCCCTGCCTCCACCTCTCCCCAGCTAGTAATACATGCATGTGCCATCACACTGTTTTTAGACGTGTTCTTAATACTGTCATAGTCTGTGTGTCGTGATAAGGTGCAGGCTGCTGTGATGTGGGGTTCCCCTAGCCAGCCTCCCACAGGACATGGATATAACACTGGTACGTCCTAATGGCCTGTCAGGTTACAGGGAAACAAATCTTGTGGACTGTTCTAGAGGGTGATACACACACACACACACACACACACACAC